TGGGCATGCGTTCGAGGAAAAACCCATCAAGCGAAGATGGTCATATGTGTTCGAACCTACGACCTCAAGGTTGTATGATAAAATTAGAACCACTATACCAATCCAAATTGATTTATGTTTCAAAGGAATATACAACAGGCTTGAATTTTAAACTTTGAACTGAGGGGCGATAGGACGAGGTGGTATAAGAGAGCTCGAAATCGATGACCGAAACACAACAGGCGTAAATTCAAACTTTCAAATTCAAGACTTCGGTCAACGGTCTCGACTCTCAGTTTTCGACCTCAACGGTCTCGACCCTCGTCTCTCGACCTGAACAGTCTCAACTCTCAATTTTCGACCTGAACGGTCTCAACTCTCGGTTCTCGACCTGAACGGTCTCGATTCTCGATCTTCGACCTCAACGGTCTCGATTCTCGATCTTCGACCTCAACGGTCTCGACTCTCGACCTAAACGGTCTCAACCCTCGGTTCTCGACCTGAACGGTCTCGATTCTCGATCTTTGACCTAAGCGGTCTCGACTCTCGATCTTCGACCTTAACGGTCTCGACTCTCGATTCTCGACATCGAAGGTCTCAACTCTCGGCTCTCGACCTCAATGGTCTTAACTCTCAATTTTCGACCTGAACGGTCTCAACTCTCGGTTCTCGACCTGAACGGTCTCGATTCTCGATCTTCGACCTCAACGGTCTCGATTCTCGATCTTCGACCTCAACGGTCTCGACTCTCGACCTAAACGGTCTCAACCCTCGGTTCTCGACCTGAACGGTCTCGATTCTTGATTCTCAACATCAACAGTCTCGATTCTCGATCTTTGACCTAAGCGGTCTCGACTCTCGATCTTCGACCTTAATGGTCTCGACTCTCGATTCTCGACATCGACGGTCTCAACTCTCGGCTCTCGACCTCAATGGTCTTAACTCTCAATTTTCGGCCTGAACGGTCTCAACTCTCGGTTCTCGACCTTAACGGCCTCGATTCTCGATCTTTGACCTAAATGGTCTCGACTCTCAATCTTCGACCTCAACGGTCTCGACTCTCGATTCTCGACATCAACGGTCTCGATTCTCGATCTTTGACCTAAACGGTCTCGACTCTCGATCTTCGACCTTAACGGTCTCGACTCTCGATTCTCGACATCGACGGTCTCAACTCTCGGCTCTCGACCTCAATGGTCTTAACTCTCAATTTTCGACCTGAACGGTCTCAACTCTCGGTTCTCGACCTGAACGGTCTCGATTCTCGATTCTCGACATCAACGGTCTCGATTCTCGATCTTTGACCTAAGCGGTCTCGACTCTCGATCTTCGACCTTAACGGTCTCGACTCTCGATTCTCGACATCGACGGTCTCGACTCTCGATCTTCGACCTCAACGGTCTCAATTCTCGATCTTTGACCTAAACGGTCTCAACTCTCGATCTTCGACCTCAACGGTCTCGACTCCCG